AAATTTGTTGAACCATCATTGACACTTTTGAATGTTCAAAACATTTCCATAAACTTCTTTGATTGTTTCCCTTCTTGTATTCAAACAGCATTACATGCCGAATGTGTCTTGTTGTGTGCCATCACTATAAGGGATTAGAGTATACTAAACTTTACACATTATATAGGCTATACTAACATGATGTTTAGGTGGTTCGTTTAACTATTATATTTGATGTATGGTTTTGGGGGGATGGTTAATGAAAATGTTCCAAAACATGACATTAATTTCTTGACAACCTAATACTGCTAAAGCCCCTTTAGTACATGGCTCCCATCCTTCATATACTGCTTGTGGTTCTGAAACAGTCAGAAGAACTGTTACTGATTTGTATGTACAAGTTACTTTAAAATCACATTGTACCTTAAAAAAATGTTTGGCTAATATGATAAATCCTGTTTCAATGAAACAAGAACCCAGCATGGTTGATAAGACCTCTTGCAGAGACTGCCTGGCCATGCACAAATATCAGATTGACCTTACATTAAAAAAGAGAAAATAGAATGGCTGTCACAGTGGGATCTTGAAGGCTTACATTCAGCTGAACATGCTGCTGACAATTGCCATAACATTGAATTGGAAGCTAGTAAATCCCTAGAATATGTTCAGTCTGAACAAGAATAGGAGACTATGGCTGAATTTTTTGATTAAACGATAAAGACCACACATACACAGAGTAAATGGAAGTAACACTAGCCTTACAAAGGAAAAATGCAGACAAGACGTTCTAGAACATACTTGCCCTGTTAGGATTAGAAAATTAATCTAAACAATAGTGCCAAAACAACTTTCACAATCTACATTTTCCATATTGCTGATGAATCACAAAATTGGATCTCTAGAATTTGGAAGAATATCTACCTCATGTGATAGCCATAAAACAATCTCAAACTCAAGTTGGTATTTGGTACAATACAACTGAAACAGCAGATAACATCCTTGTCTGACTCATGCTATAAAGCGTATCACCTTGGATTGAAGTAGTACATCACCTTGTCTGGAACTATTAAATTCTGAACTATAACCCCAGAAAAGTTTAACATTTTGTTTTATTATATGTATCACAAGTGTATGTATGTATATGCAGCACTCATATTTTGTATCCATTATTTACAATACATCATCATTTACATAGCTGAACTTCTTTATTTCATAAAACAAGTGTTTTTATTTCTTATAGATTTAATTATTTCATTTATATGGTCTCTAGAAAAAACAATGGGTGTATTGTTATGCACATTCAGAACATGCTATATGATATCTTATAAAACAATTCCTTCAAAAATTATTTCCAATTATTTATAGTAGGAAAGGTAATAGAAGTTGAACAATTCAGTCACAGGAATGTAAAAAAAATATCCTGTTGCTTACAACTGGTTTATGTCAGTTGTTTACTTAATCCAACCTAATGACACACACAGTACTAGCAAAAATTTTTTTTTGTAGAAATATGTATTGGTAAATTTCAGAGGAAATACTAGTATAAACACCACAAATTATATCTTATATTTTAATACATTTCAGATGCATATACTTGTTTTAAAGACCATTAATAAACATGTTTTTTAAGTAATACATATACATTTTCCATTTCAGATGCAGGTGGCTGTAGCTAAAGTGTTTTCCCAGATGAAGAAGTCTGTGATGTTTATGTCTGAAAGAATGATGTTAGAGATGAAAAGGCAGACTTACATCACACCCAAGAATTACTTAGAAATGGTATTTAGCTACAAAAGGTATTGAAAATTGGGTATTTTTATTTGAGTTTGTCATGAGAACTGTTAGTTTCGTGTTGTATCTAATTTTTTATGCCTTTAGTGAAATGATCTAAGAGTGTTATCCAATATATTAAACTGAAAAATAAACGTTTATTAAATAATTTTGACACTTCTGTAAATAACTTTTTGTACATATATTGGTATTTCAGATGATGCATAAAATAGTTTTTGCTTTTAGTTTTTTTTCATCATTACATTTCTCTGTTTCATATACCTTATGATAGTTTTGGTTTTATATATAAGGCTTCTGGCACAGAAACGCACGGATTTAGGGGGAGTGATTCACAAATTAAGATCAGGCCTTCACAAGATAAATGAAACAAGAGAGAAAGTGGAGCTTATGTCCAGGGAACTTCAAGATGCCCAAGTTCAAGTTGCCAAGTTCCAGAAAGAATGTGATGAATATTTAGTAATCATAGTACAGCAGAAGAGAGAAGCAGATGAACAACAAAAAGTTAGTGGGAAAGACATCCTCAGCATAATCAGTAGTGATAAGAAAATTGCTAATTAAATGTAACACTCACTGAATTGAATTGATGTGCTTTATTAAAGCTCAACTCATTGTGTACATTATTAATTTTAGAATTTAAATATATATATATATTTTTTCTATTGATTAATTTACTGTAGAAAAATATATATTACAAATTCCTTTTCTATTAGCTTTTGTGTAAGTTTAAGAAGTCTTTAACTAAACACAGGCTACTTGAACTCATATTTTGCTCACTTTCAGTAAATTAGAATATGAATAAAATATCTGACTTCAAGTCAACTAATTCTAAATGACAAATTAGGTTTTACTCAAAACAGTTCAGCATAAATAAAAAACAATATTTGTATTTGATCGTTTTACTTCCTAAATGGCCAATGCTGAAAACAAAATGATAGATAAGAGTCAGTGGTTAAATAAATATAATTAGGAGTGCTTGAGTTGTTACTAATTGTCTGACTTTACTCAATTTGCATATAGATAGTATCAGCAAGGAGTGAGAAAATTGCTGAAGAAGAGGCTACGTGCAAGAAAATGGCAGAACATGCATTACAAGACCTAAATCAAGCCCTTCCAGCTCTAGAAGAAGCAATGAAAGTATGTTTTTCATTATTTTTTATGAACATTAATCTATATCAGACATGTACTTTTATGATCTTATGTAAAGTAAAGAAGCTAGTTAAATCATTTTAAATATTAGTTTTTACAATAGAAAATCTTGTTAAGATATTTAATATTAATTCATCTTTTTAATAGGAACTTTGTTTAGTAAAAAACAACTATTTAGAGTTGTTGTCATTTGATTTTGCTGCTTATAAAATTCAAAATTCCAAAACATATTCTCTGCTGACACTTTAGCTATTCCTCAACATTGGATTTACCTATCTAAGCATTGGTCTGGCATGCCCCAGTCTTATACCCCACTTAAATGCCCTTGGCAATATCTAATTTGAAAATCCCTCTGCCTCTGTCAATGTACTCTCTATCCTGACACTGTATATAAGCACTTCACTCATATCATGTAATCACTTTTTCTTGACAAAGCATTGGTCACGGTTTTGTTTGACGAAGTGTTGTGGTTTGTTCATAATGGATTGTGATTTTTGCATTGTCCTATGGATTTTCTTATAATTATAATTTCCTATACAAAACAAAACAAAGAAAAAATGGCACATGGTGTTTGTGGGTATGAATTCCAGTATTACCATTGTCTGATCTCCCCTATTCCTCCTTTATTATCTAGCGTCTCTCTACAGTTAGGGTGTGTGTGTGTGACTCTCAGCTGAGACTGTACATGTTTTGATTTATTGGGAGATGGAGACATACATTCAGCCCAGGAGGGGTCTCTGAAGTTTATTTTTTTTGTTGATTCTGGTTATTCTGGGAAGAATATGGACTTGGTTTTTCTGACACTTTTCTTTACTAAGCTGGCTCTTCATGAGTCCAATTTAGATCAATCACCTCCTAATCCTTTTCTTCCATTTGTCATTTGGGTTATGAGATTTTGGGGCTTTTTTCTGTGCCCTTTTTGAGTCTACTCCTCCCTTGATGGTGGAATGGTAGGGGGACTACTTAGTTTTTCCTTCTTTGCCTGATATTCCTGGTTCATCCTGAAAGATTTACTTCTTTATTCTGTTTGCATACTTTGGCTTTCCACCTCCAGGGGGACATATTTTTTCAATTCTACAGACTACAATTATTTAATTTTGAATATGTGGAGTTCCAGGTTGGTTCATGTGATCACTTTGAACCAATCACATTTTTTTTTTTTTTTGTTTGCTACTCATTCTTGCCCTGTGATGTTTCTTCCCCTACAAATTGTTGGCAGCCTATCAATGGCCCCCACATTAATTTGTGAACGAATGGGGTCTCCTACTGCCTTCTTTCTTGGTCAGATTGCTTGATTCTGTTACTTCTGTAGAGATAACTTTGTGAAGTGACTTTTGTCTACCTTCTGTAGCTTCTGGGTTTTACATGTAGTTTCTTTTTATTGTCACTTCATGTTTGCAGAAATTCCCAGGGGTGTTTGTATTGCAAATTGTCATCACCCATTTGCTTTTTTGTTGTTGTTATTGACCTCTTGACCTTATTTGGCTCTAGCAGCTGAATAGCCTCAGACCTTAGTTTCAGGGTCACTCTTTTTTGGCCTGACCTAGGAGGAGTCAACTAGAGTGAAGTTATAACTATTGATGGACACCTGGTATTCCTTCACTGCAGATTCATGGGCACTTTGGGTTCTGGTATCGAGGTTGGACTTTCCATTCAATTCTCCATTATCCTCTCACCCTGTGGTATTTCCACCTCCACCTGACCAGTGAGGTGTGAATTTACGTTTCACAGCTATCAGAGTTACTGATCACTGGGGTGGTAGTGACAGTTGATTCAATTTTTCTGGGATTTCATTTCTGTTTATTTGTTGTGCCTGAGACAAGAGAAGATTCGTGGATGATCGTCATTCCCACAACTGGCTATCGACAGTGAAAGGCAGTAGAAGCTGAGATGTTATGGGTGTAAGCACTCAGCTTCATACCCTTATTTGATTGATGTTTTTTTTAATGATTTTCCAGAATAAGATGTTGGTAGCCTAGATTGGCCAGCCTAGCCATGATTTCCTCTTCTACAGTTTCTTCATGTGAGTCCATGAGTTAACATTTTCCTAAATTGAAAATGTATTTCCAATAATGCTTAACACCACTGATACTCTCCCACCATTCCTCCCCACTAAGAGCCGGTGTTAGTGACTGGGATGGTGTGAGTCTCAAAAATGATTACCTTATTTGAGTGAGGTGCTTATATACAGTTTCAGGATAGAGGGTGCATTGACACAGGTGGAAGGATTTGCAAATTAGATATTGCCAAGGGCATTTAAGTAGGTTATAAGACTGGAGCATGTGAGACCAATGTTTAGATAGGCAAAGTCAACATTGAGGAATAGCTAAGGTGTCAGCAGAGGTAAGTATTATTGGAAATACATTTTCAATTTATGAAAATGTTAACTTTTGTTTAAATATTTTTTAATACCATAGCTGTGAAGATTGCTATGTATAGAATAGATTTATGTTTTAATTTCAGGCCCTTGAATCTCTCAACAAAAAGGACATTGGAGAGATTAAAAGCTATGGTCGACCACCAACTTTAGTGGAGAAAGTAATGGAAGCTGTGATGATTCTGAGAGGGTCTGAGCCAACATGGGTAGAGGCAAAACGGCAACTTGGTAAGTAACAAGAATTATTAGTACCACAGTTAGCAAAATAAATACCATAATTCATAAATTCTGTGATGTAATTCTAATTTTAATTCTTAAGTCTTAATAACTTCCTTTCATTACTTGCTGTCTCATTGTGTTATGTTATTTTTTATGACTTGTACAATTTAGATATAGAAACCTTGAATTTTATATTCCAGGTGATCCAAATTTCATAAATCATTTGATGACCTTTGACAAAGATAACATTAATGACAGGGTCCTGAATAGAATTGGAAAGTATGTAGTACAGCCAGACTTTCATCCTGAAATTGTGGGTAAAGTTTCTCTAGCAGCAAGATCTCTGTGTATGTGGGTTCGAGCAATGGAAGTTTATGGAAAAATCTATAGGTATGTTTAATTTTATATTCAAACAACTGATTATTTTGTTAAAATTATTATATCATAGTTGCTGCAGAATATTGTTTTACTAGCTTAGCAATCAGCAAAAAATTATAGCTCTTTTTAATGGTATTATCTGTATTTCTGGTTTTCTATGCCAAACATTTTAAACAAAAGAGATATATTTGATGAAATTTCATGAAATATATGCGTTAGTTTGGAAAATAAAAATCAACTTTTGCTGAAAGCACATAAAAATATGTTTTAGGTAAAAAAAATATTAACTTTTATTTTATTATGTATACATTGTGTGTAAGAGTGAACAAAGCATTTACAACTAACTAATACATTTTAGTAAAATTTGGACTATTATACTTTTGAATTAATTGATTGAGTTTTGGTAAAAACTAAGTTTTAATAAAGCAGAATATCATAAAATATAAGAGTGTTATTTTGAAAACATGAATTAATTTTGATGAAAGTATACATAAATTTGAGTTTTGAATAAAAAATGCATTTACTTGTATTTCAATATGTGTGTATGTGTGAGAAAGAGCAAGATATTTCAAACTAATGGATAAATTTTAATGACATTTAAACTTCATTAGTTTGAACTAAATAAGTTTTAAGAAAGAACACTGAACACTACTATCACTGATTGTCATTTTACTGTAATAAAGTCTAAAAAATGTTATTTGGATTACTGCTTTATTTAATTTAATTTTTGAATCTTTGCTAAAAATATGAGTGATTTTTAATTGTTGGAGTTTTTTGGCATACAAAAATATGTAGTTTTATAATTTTACATTAACTAATACACTTTGACATTGTTTTTATTAAAATAGAAATAAAGAAAAAATATATTTGTGAAATGTCTTTTAAGGGCTTTAAGGGGTATTTTAGTTTTAAATGTGTACAGTTGACATGTAGGTGTAATATTATGTTATTTTGTACAACTTGCATTTTGAATTTAGAATTTCTAAAGATACTGTTAATTGAAGAATCTGGCACACATAAGTTTTACTATAAGTTCCATGGTTAAAGAACTATAATGTTCAGTTTTTCATCATTGTAGCTTTTACATAGACAGTTTATGAATTGCAGAGTGTTTTTAAGTTGTTAATACTGAAATTTGGTTCTGTACTAAAAACTGTGCCTATCGTCCACACCACATTCATCAAATAATAAATAGTAGACCCGAAATGAAAAAAACATGCAATTGTATAACTATAAGAGCTTAATTTTATCATAGGTCCAGGTTTTAACAGGTTATCTTGCATCTAGATGACAATTAGGATAAAAAACATCTTTAAGAAGAAATTAAGAAATTGATTAAAGTTGGGATAAAAATCTGAAATACTTATTAATTCCTCCAATCTCTGTAACAAGCACAAAATCATGTAGAAATATATTAACATTTTTTAGGCCATTTCAAAACTAAGCATGTGCTTTTTGATTCAATTTTAAGCACAGTGCTGAAAGAACTATTAGTGATCATTTACTGAATAAAACCTAATGAGAAATAAAAAAAACAACAACTAATGTATTCTAATTAGGGCAACAAGAACTTTAGTATTACAAATACAGTAAACATTTTGCCTTAGGGTCAACAAATAACTCAATGTATTCGGTTGGTCTCAACCGAAAATTTATCTGAAAATGTAATTATATGATACTTTTTATTAATACATTCTTGTGAGATTATGATAAAATAATGATTAAAGCATGTATTACCCAAAGCATTGTTTATTATCAGTTTTCCTCAACTGATAAATAAAAGATTTATACTCTAACTTACAGCACTATTAATATTAGTGCCATTACTTCAGTTTTACTGATTAGTCTTTAAACCTAGACCTTTGTAACTGAATTTTTAAAAAAGATTATTGTTATATTCATTAAATTTGAATAATATGAACCTAAACATATTCATTCTGATTTTAATGTATTATTTTTATTGTATTATTTACTGCTTAATTTCAGATTAAAATTAAAGCTAATTATATAATAATTTTATTTATTATACAGTTTCCATTGTTCTGTTCGGTTTACTAATTACTGTTCAGAAGTTGTTTATAAATGATTCATTCCAAATTTAAATCCATTTGTATAAGTTTACAGTTCCAGTGAATCAAAAATGTTTAACACTACTTTATTGTTTTATGCATATGAAGTAAAATTGACTGCAGAAATATGCATGGAATAAAAAATAATATACATCTTAAAATATTTCTTACAATTTTACAGATATGAAAATATTCCTCAGACTTGTATTTATTTCTTTAACTGGGGTTTTAAGTTAGATGAATGTTTGAGTTTAAATAATATTTTTACTATTTTTAAATAATGTATTGTAATATCTTTGTGCTCTAATCATTGAGTATGGCATTAATTTCAATGAATTTATATTACTTATTATAGGATTGTAGAACCCAAAAGACAGCGCTTGTCTACAGCAGAATCTCAGTTGGCTGAAAAACAGGCAGTGTTAGCTGAAGCTAAAAATAAACTATTGGAGGTATTAAAACAATACTAGTGTAATACACCTTAATGGCAGGTTCGAAAAAATGGTTATCTAATATATTATAAATGATAATATGCATCTATTAGGACACCAGACATAGTATTGATATTTTTGGAGATTCTTTTTTCTTTTTATTGAGTAATAATGGATAATATTCTACAATGTGCAGTGGGTACTCTTTACAAATGAGGATATTATTTATATTTGTGACTATATTATAGCATTTTCAAAATTTTTAAGTTATAAAGTTAAATTCCTATTTTAACTTATCATGATTCCTTTAGTTGAATGATAAAATTGAGACACTGAAGAATCAGTATGAAGAGAAGTTGGCACATAAAGAAGAGCTCAGGAATAAAGCAGAGATGCTAGAGATTAAGCTAGACAGAGCTGATAAGCTAGTGAATGGACTTGCTTCAGAAAAAGTACGCTGGGAGGAAAATGTGATGGTTGGTATTTTTTTAATGATATATTTGTAATGTTAGCATAGATTGTCATAAGACGTGGTATCATTTTTAATGGATATATATTTATTTATTAAATCACTTGGTTTTTGTAAAAATGTAGGTATCTTTATCAACAATGAAATATTTTTTGTATATTTTTTATTATGTGCTTGTTACTGTCATGTAGAATTGTATAGTTAGAAAACTTATCAAAGATTTTGGGTTTCTTCAATATTTTTGTTTCACATATATATATATATATTTAATAATTGGAAACCATGTTTTATTGATAATAATTTCTTGCATTACTTAAAACAAATAACATATATTTTTTCTATATATACATGTATAGTATCTCAGTATGTATGAATGCCATAATATTGTTTATAAGATTACTCAACATTTCTATAAAACTATTGATTTTTAGAGAATTTCTTCAAAGTTAATTACAGTTTTAAAGTAGAAAGTGTTGCTGGAAGTTATTTAGTGTGTAATATGTGAAATATTTTGTGGTGATTTTGATTAATATGTAGTATGACTTATACAAGCTACTTTCACTCAGAAGTTCGTATTACTTAATACGGCATAAATGCTTTTGATTTTTAAACAAATTATTTTTTTTATTTTGTTTCTTTTTTATTGCATTTCCAAAACTCATTGTTACAGTTTAGTCTCAGCAATGACACTTTAATTTTTCCTTTACCTGCTGTTTTTATGTTTATATATTTTCTTCTAAATGTCAAACATTTACATTGAAAGGCTATGCTTACAGTGCATCAAATAAATGTTAGAGTTTCTTTCAAAATCTAGAAATATAACCTAATATACTATCATCACAACCTTTGGTAGTTAATTGTAAATCTATAAGTGGTAATTTTGCAATAAACATAAGTCATTCAAGTTATTTTTACCTGTACACCTTTGTAATTGAGAATAACTGGAGCCACGTATGATATGTTTGTTACTTTTGCTAATCTAAATAAAAATTATTTTATTGTGATTAAACTATGAAAATCTTTATACTTTGCTAGTTTGCAGTAATCATGAGTCATGTATTATCTGCTATTATAAAATAAGTATGGGCTGTGTGTGTGTGTAACCTTGATTATGTTGTTTCTTGTACACATTGCAAATCTAAACTAAACATAAGCTACATGTATGTTTGTGTGTGTGTTTGAATTTCTTTATCATTTTATACCCTTTAACCTTATGATAATCACTTGTTATGTGTAAAACTTGTGTTTTTAAAGGATCTGGATGAAAAATTAAGCTACTTGGTTGGAGACTGTTTAGTTGCTGCTGGTTTCCTTTCATTCTTGGGACCTTTCCTTTCTCAGTATCGTGATGAATTGATTCATCAATGGTTAAAACAGGTGAAATATACATTTTAAAAATGTTTGTTGAAAACTGGCTCAAAGTTTACAAATTCATGTAGTTTAAAGAATAGAGTCTGTAAGACTTAGTTTCTGTATCTCGTTGTTCTGAGTGTAAATATGTGTTTAAATGTATTATTTCAATGTTATATATTTAAATTCTTGCTAATATACTAAATAGTGATTGATGTTCATAGTCCTTCCTCTATGTAAGTCTTGAGTAATTACCTTTTGTTATAGTAATGAAACTTTTTGAGTTTGTACATTTGATATTTTTATTATAACTAGAACATTCTTACTTCTACATGTATATCACTATGTAACATTATTAAATATACTGTAGTTTAGAAATTTTAATCTAATTCTGACTTTACTGTTTGTTCACAAATTATTCCCCTCATGCTTGAAATTTTACACATTTTTTATGTGGTTCAACAGCATATTCTGTTTTGAACTTAATACTATCATCAGGAACCTTATGATGACAAAATACTTTGTCATAATGTTGTACATTTGTTAGGAGATTAAACTTGTAATAAAGATTTTTCATTATCTATTCAAGCTGTCTTCAGAGTATTGTCTCAAAGTGGGTTCCTCATCATCAAATTTGAATCTAGGTTCATTTTGGAGTTTTGATTAAATACTAAATGTTCATTTAGTGATGGTGGAAAATATATTATTATTATATCAATTTTATTTATTTCAAATCATTCAGCTTTTGTATCTTGTCTATTAGCAAACACATTTGCATGCTTAACCTTGCATTATTCATTTCTTCTTAGATATCACACACATAAGGAAAGTCAGTTAATGAATACTATAAATTAGTTTTTATAGCTTTTGCTTGTATAAACTTCTTTACACACCTTAAAATCATAAACCTTTTTACAAAATATGTGATCGATTATGCAAATTTTTTTATCTTGATGTGTCTGAATAGGATGAAGTTTTTCAAAGAAAATTATTACACTTATTTGTTGTAAAAATTTAGATAATATGGGTTTTATGGTTGACAATAGTGTTGTTTTGTAGCTTATTGCTCTAGGAATTCCTTGTAGTCCTAACTTCAACCCTTCATCATTCTTGGCAAGTCCAACTACTTTATGGGAATGGAACCTTGGAGGCTTGCCTTTTGACTCTTTTTCCACAGAAAATGGAATTATTGTCACACAGGCTCATTGCTGCTCTCTTGTTGTGGATCCACAAGGACAAGCTGTCAAGTGGATACGTAACATGGAAGAAAAAAGGGTATCTTTGGTCAAACGAATAATTCAGCTTATACAAAAAATATATAAACTTATCTCTTTATTAGGAATCCCTGCATACATATAACAAATACTCTTAAATACTTGCATATCCAAAACAGAGTCTGATCATATGATATGTTACATTGTATTTTGAATCTTATAAATTCATAAATATAGTCATATTACAATTAGTCTGTATGACTTTAAGTAAGAGCACGGATCTTTAAGACTTAAAAAATGACATGTTAATGGGTACTCATCTAGCAGGAGTATCATTATTAATGACCATATATCTTTGTAGCTGTTTAAAGTCATTTCTCATCAGAGTCTGTCAAGAAAGTCGGTTAATGAAGAAAATGCCTTCTACTAGGAAAAGCTATGTCTGTTTACTTTGGTAACTTATCAATGGAAAAGGTGACTGGACAGGATAGTTAAGTGCAATAGGTTAAGGATTATGGCTGTTTCAGTGATCTGATCAAAAGAAATCAGAATATTCAATTACACAGTGCCAAGGATATTTTATGAAATTTCATATGGAAATAAACAAAAATTCTGATACGATCTTATCTCTCTCACACAAAGCTAGCTTGATCTTCTTTCTGCTCTCTAAGCATTGCTAAAAAAATTTCACATTCAGCGCTCCAGTCTATATACCCCACCAATTTAGTGCCACTATTGAACATGTACATTGCATGTGACTACTATGATTAAAACAGGGAAACATGACTTTAGTAGTGCTTTGGATGCAAATTGTTAACAGTGTATGACAAAAATCTGTCAGCTAGGTGGTCTAATGAATTATGTTTTACCCTTTTCAGTACTAAGAGTAAGATGAAATCATGGAGAAAACCATATGAGACATTTTGCTTGTTTTATTCCAACAGATCAAGGTGCTGTAATAGTATGGAAATGTTTTCATAACATAGGAGGTCTCTTTGATTCCTTTGGAAGGATGAATAACATGCAAGGTATACCTAAATGGTATTGTTCATCATAATGTTGGGTTTCAACACTGAGAGGCTCTTGCAAGTTACTGTGAAACACCAATAGTGCTCATGTAATACAAATTTATTTCTGAGAGCATGACAGTGACTTTAGTGATATTTTTTAACTAGTGTAGCCACTGAGTCTCATTCAAAGTGAGCAATTTTGAGATGAACTTGAATGTCATCTTTCTTAATGTTTCCATCTTCTAATAATTGTGCCAAACCCCCCCCCACCCCACGCGCGACACGCGTGTGTGTGTAGTATACTACGTACGTACGTACGTACCGGTTCGTACGTACGTCGTGGTGGCGACGAGAC